AATTCGTTCACTACCAGATTTTGTTGATAACATCTTGCACTTAAATTGAATGACTAAATATTTATCAAACAGACGTAAGAGTCGAAAGTCAATGTTATTGTAAAGAAACTTTTCTTTTACACTCAATTAGAATATGGGTAAGAACAATGACTCACAATATGGAAAAGTTTGACTAAGTAGAACAACAATAGAATTTCGTTCTATCTGCTCTCAACTCAGACATTCTTATATAATATAATACTAGATAAAATTTAATGACAAATAAAGTTCATGAAACACTGTTTGTGGCTGAAACATTCAACGCTAATGGAATTGTCGGTGTCATTAATGGAATGCTCGTTGTTACAGCGATGCCTGATTGTAAACCATCTGCGCTGGCTGTTACAACAATTCGACCAGCAGTCATCGTTGTACGAATCAATATTGCCGCTATTCCCGCTCCGGTCGTGATTGGATTTGCTCCAATGCTACTATCACCAACAATTATTCCTTCTCCTGTAATACTAAAAGTTATAGATACCGTATTCGTTGGAATAATAGTACCATTTTTATCAACAACCGAGGCTGTGACAATTCCGATATCAGCCCCATCAGCTATTAAACTTCTTCGAACAGTATCAATATTTACAATAATCCATTGAGGAACATCAGGTGTACTCACAGACGTCGACTTAACAACTATATTTTCAATCAAACCATCCGCTCGCAATATTCCCGATTGCCAGGTTAATTCTTTGAACGTAAATGGAGGATGTGGTATACACACATCCGTTTCCGCACTATCTGGCAATTGAGATGCGATCAACTTATTATTTAAGTATAAATTGACCATTTCACAATTAGAAAAAATTGTCACATCTTTGGGTGAGTTTGATGTCCACCAATTGGCGATGTAGATCATTGGACCAGAATCAATGTTGTTCGGCAATATGACAGTTGGATCTCGTTGACTTTGAAAGAAGTAATATACAAATTTTGGAATTCGAAACAAATCCGTTAACCCACAATATGCAATTAGTGGGTAGTATCCACGATTATAATCGAAACCACACCATGTTGCTTGGCCACAGAGTTTATATTCTGTATTCGGCATTAATAATTGGCTATAATCACCTTGTTTATTTGAAGTTGACAACAGCATTGCAGCCTCACCATCTGAACGTATTGTTCGTGATGTACTATGATTACCACCAAATTCCCAGTCTCCAT